TAGGGTTTAAGTTCAGGCGCTCAGGGCTTTCGGGGCATTCGTGGGGTAGGGGTAAAGAAAGAGACTCCTGGTCACAGGTGCAGGACAAGACAGAGACTTTGAAGTCAATGGAAGAGGCCAGCAGCAGTGCCAACATGAGCTCTAAACCCTAAACCCTGAACCCTGAACCCTGAAACCTTAAGCTGCAAACCCGACACCCACAGCAGCAGCCATAATTCCTCGCCCCGGAGGACAGAGTCAAAATTCTGGGTTGACCGTTGCCATGTTTGGGTTTAGGGTTTAGAGTTTAGAGGTTAGGGTTTCCAAGGGTTAGGGTTTCTAAGGTTTAGGGTTTCTAAGGTTTAGGGTTTCCAAGGTTTAGGGTTTCCAAGGTTTAGGGTTTCTGGGTTTTGGATGAAATCGGCCTCTGCCCCCTCCAAACCTTCAGGTGATCTCCTCCGATGTTGCCCGAAACCCTGAGCCCTTGACCCTAAACCCTAAACCGTAAACCGTAAACCCTAAGCCCTAAACCCTAAACCTATCACATTGAACCCTAAACCCTACAAAGCCATAACTCCCAGAACCGTCCCATAATTCTAACGGTAGTTTCATGGGCCCTTAATATGGTCCCGTACCCTCCTTAAAGGGTTCTGATGTATGGGCCCCTTAAATTGTATAGGGTATATAAAGGGCATGGAAGGGTTCGCCTTTTTTAGGGCCCAGATGAAGGGACCATGTAACCACCCTAAGAATTACTCCCATCAACCCTGAAACCTCTAAAGTTTCCAAGACGGACTCTCAAACCTCGACACTTGGGAGGCATATTTCCAGCTTGGCCGTTGGCAAGAGGCGCCGGAAATCTCAGGGGCTCTAGGGTTTTGAGGGGTGTAGGTTGGGATGCTCCCCTTTATACTAGCAGTCCTTAGTAGGGAATTTAGTAGGGGGGGCTACTGTAATCCCAATTACGGACTGTTAGTATAAGGGGGAACATCCCAAGGTTTAGGGCTTGCCAGGGCTCATGTTTTTGTGGGTTTAGGAGGTCGAGCGTGTTGGGGGCTGCAGAGTTGGGAGGAGCCCATGTCCTCTCTTTTTTTGTCTCCATGATGGGAGGGTTGAGGAGGTTTAGTAGGGCTCAGGTTCTCACTTGTTTGTCAAGGTGATTCGGGCCTCCATTTTTTGGGTTTATATAGGAGGGTTAGGACTTAAGGGTTTAGGGCTTAGGGCTTGGGGTTCAGGACTGTAGTGTTTAGGGGCCAGGCGCACCTGCATTCCCTGTTTTAAGGGCTTTGTTCCCTTCTAACCTGCTGTGCCAAGAAGACCAGGCTTTTCATTGTTAGGTTGCTGGGCAACTTAGGATTTGCAGTTTGGGCTCTCAGGTTGTTTGAGTTGGTAGAGCACCCTAAACATCTCTCATGCGCGCAGGCCCGGGAGGCGTACCGTCAACTGCTGGCCTTGGCCCCGCACCAGGGCCTAAAGGCCGCGTCGGGTTTAGGGTTTAGGGTTTAGGGTTTAGGGTTTAGGGTTTAGGGTTTAGGGTTTAGGGTTTGGGGTTTAGGGTTTAGGGTTTAGGGTTTAGGGTTTAGGGATAGGGTTTAGGGTCTAGGGTTTCGGGTCTGGGGATTGGGGCCTGGGGTTTGGGGTTTCAAAAGGTTCCGGGTTTGAAGCCCTCAAGGGGTTTAGGTTGTTTAGGGTGGTGGGTTGACAGTCGGGTGTCGGGTTCAGGTGTAGGATTTAGGGGTCTCGAGACGATGTGATGTTTCAGTGCGTCCAGGCAATGCTCCGGAGGGCTGTCAGAAGTTCGAGGGGCAGAATCTTGCGAAATTCGAGGAATGCTTCGGCGCATTCCGAACGAGGGAATCGTACTAGTTACTATTTACTAGCAGTTGTTAATTTTAGGCCGTTTCTGCAAGCTGCACACCCCAAGCCCCACACCTTGAAGCCAGAAACATCTGCATTTCACGTAGGCCTCGGACCTCAACTCCTAACCCTCATGCTGTGGGCTTCAAACAGGGAATGGGATGGAAATACTACCGTGAACATCGAGTCCATTCCCCTACAGTCGAGAACTTTGCAAAATCGCAGCTTAGTGAGTTTGTGAAGGCGACACGTAGACCGCGCATACATGGAGAACAAGCCTGTGCTGTGAAGAACAACGCGGCGCGACATCGTGAGAAGCATTGTGAAAACTGACTTGCGCAGGGCTCGCTTGACATGATGGCTTGTTTCTCATTTGGTTTTCCTTTGTTTTTGTTGTATTACACGCAGGCCTCGTTTTAGAACAACGACCCATCGATTCTGCAGAGTTAGGCCGAGCTAAGTCTTGGAGTTGTGCAGAGGCTGCCGTAGCATGAGCTTATCAAGAGGTAGTGCCCGAAGGGGATTCCGATGAAAGGCAATATAAGTGTTGGTTGGGATGTTCCCCCTTATTCTTAACAGCCCTTAATAGGGATTCTAATAGGGGGTACTACAACCCCTATTAAGGACTGTTAGTGTAAGGGGGAAGATCCCAAAGTATTGGGGAAGAAAGCCTTAGGAAAGCTAACCCTCCTTCAAGATTCCCTGAGACAGCCAAACCACCGAAGGCCCCAAACCCAAAACTCGGGTGCGCTCAAAATCCCTGGGAACAGGTAAGATTAGCCATACAGCCAGCGTATAAGTGATACTCCCGAAAACAGACCGTTGAAAAACATTGTTTTCTCTCACTCTCAGCCTTAAACCCGAATCTGAAACTCTAAACCTGAAACCCCAAATCCTAAACCCTACACCCCAAACCCTAAACGCTAAACGCTAAACCCTAAACCCTGAACCCTGAACCCTAAACCCTAAACCCCCCTTTCCTCTTGAAGGCGCGGCGCCCGGAGAGCTGCCGAAGCCTCGCAGCCTGGCTTGAGGACCAACTGAGCCGTCGGGGGTTTAGGGTTTAGGGAATTAGGGAAGAAGGCCCCCTATACCCCCTATGTCCTATGTATACTCTTTGAGGGAAGATGTAATTCCACATTCCCTACTAAGAACCCGGAGGGGTTGGGGGGCTGGGTTTCCGAGTTTCGGGCATTCGGGGTTCAGGAGTTTTGGGGGTTCAGGGGTTTTCAGGATTTAGGGTTGAGGGTTCTGGTTTTTGGGTTTAGGGTAGGAGTTGTGCGGTTTAGGGTTTAGGTTTGTTTTGCTTCTTCTGTTTGCTGGCCGGCGATATTTGCGGGGGAAGTGCGGGTTCCGCTAATCCCCCCGAAGTAGTTTTTGTACTGCCCGCCTTTTCTCTCAGCTGGCAGGCACTGATTTCTTTTTAGGAAGGGATTGAGGATAAGGGTGTCCTCGCTAGACCTTGAACTCAGAGGTTGTGTGATCCATTGCATGGATTTAGGTTTGAGGATGGTTTAGGGTTTAGGATTTCTAGTCAGCGCTTATAGGGTTTGAGAAGTAGTCTTTCGCGTGTATGGCACCCAGATTGAGATTTTGGGGCCCCCTCCCCCCCTCCCCCCTCCCCCCCTTCCCCCCTCCCCGCTCCCCCCTCCCCCCTCCTTCCCCTCTCCCCCATCTCCCCTCTCCTCCCCCCTTCCCCCCTCCCCCCTCCCCCTCCCGACACCCCTCCAAAGCCCAGAACTCTCTAGACCTATGTATCGTTGTTCCAAGTACCCCCCCCCACTCTACCTGAAGAACCCCAAAGGTTTAGGGGTTTAGCGTTAGGGTTGAGGGTTGGCGGGCACGAGCCTGCAACAATGTAGGTTTCGGGTTCTCAAGGCAGGGTTTGGGGTTTAGCTTTCAGCCCCTAAACCCTGAACCCTGAGCCCTAAACCCTAAACCCTAAGCCCTAAACCTTACACCCTAACCCCTGAACCCTGAACCCTGAACCCTGAATCCTAAATCCTAAATCCTAAACCCCAAACCAAACCCTTCAGAGTCTCGATGCACGAAGCCACCCTTCACCAGGACCGGCTCTTGGAGCTGGAGGCAGGTTTAGGGTTCTTCGGGGTTTCGGGTTTAGGTTTTGGGGTTTGGGGTTTAGGGTTTCGGGTTTAGGGCTTGGGGGTTTTGAGTTTGGGGTTTTTGGTTTAGGGCTGGGGTCTGAGGTTTAGAGTTGGATCATAGTACCCCCCCCCCCCCCCTATTATAGTCCTTACTCAGGACTGTTAGACAAAGGGGGAACATCCCAACCCTAAACCCTAAACCTTAGACCCCTAGACCCCTAGACCCCAAGACCCCTAAACCCCTAAACCCCTAATCCCCTAAACCCCTAAACCTCTAAACCTCTAAACCCTAAACCCTAACCCTGAACCCTAAACCCAAACCCAGAGGACTCGGAAGTGCACGCCTACCCAGCGTTGCCACCTGGCTTCCGGCAAGAGCTCTGCAGCTGGGAGGAGGCGCCAACAGAAGGTTTAGGGTTTAGGGTTTGGGGTTTGGAGTTTAGGGTTTGGGGGGGGGGGGGGGGATTGATAAACACAAGCGCTCTATATGGAGGTTTACGAAAATAAGGGACCCCGAATTTTGACCCCTTAAATAGTAGGATTCCCTTGTAATAAGGACACCCCCCTTCTTTCGGAAACCGTATATCTCGAGTTCAAGTGTGTATGCATTTGGACACATTTCTTGAGGTATACTTTTCCTTTTCTGTAAGGGTGTAGTGTAGGTAGCAGGGACAGGCGCTTGTTTTGTTTTTCCAATGTTGAAGTTGCGGTGTCAAGAAGAAATAGCACGTCGCAGCAGCAGCAGATCTCCACGGCAGCAGTTATGGAAGTCATACTACCTGCTGAGTTGCTGCTAGGGCACTTGCGTTTTCGTTGTTAAGTTGCTGGAGGGAGAGTGCCGCTGGATGTTCGTGCTCCGCAACTTTCAGTCTTAATTCATCCTACAAGGGCGAAGCTTAAAGGCGATTGAGAAGGGGTACCTGCCCTTGAGCAGTTGAAGTTGTCAGCTGTTTATTATGACTCTGTTGTGGGGTTCGGTTGCATCTTTGCCCTGAGCGATCTGATCCATCATTTTTGCGCATCACATCAACCTTCGTCGTCAAAGCAAGACGTGGAGCCATGGAAGGCGTCGAGCTGCCCCTGAGGCGCCACACCTGCCCCGCAGCTTCTCAGGAGACGTCGCCCGAGTCGCCGCTGCCACGTCGCCGCGCCACGTTGGCAGCAGTGGCGCAGCAGCTGGGGGAGATGGAGGACGGGGCAGTTGGGGCTGAGAAGTTGGTACATGGGTGGTCCAGGGCGCAGGTGGTGCTCCTGGTGTTGCTGGACTGCAGCCAGAGTTGGCTGACATTGTGCTTGAGATAATGATGTTTCAGGGACTCAGCCGATCCGCAGGGTTTCGCACGGGCTGCCAACTGAGGTATACTCTGGCGCGGGTCGTGGCTAATGTGTACGTGGTTCCTGCCCAGGTAGAGCAGCGTCGATTCCAGCGTCGAAGCCCAGGTGCCGATGAGATGATCGTTCGAACTTTCGATGCGGTTGCGAGACCCTTGATTACGGGGCTTGGAGTCTACTGCTTCCTCTGCAACAAGAGCCGCTTTTCGGAGAAGTTGCGGCTGCATGTTTGGAGCAGGAGGACGATATTCTGCCTTGCTTGCTGCGCTACTGACCAAAGCGCGATGCATTACTTTCTCTATGGACGTTATGCTGATATTGCACGGATGAGTTGTTACATTTGGCAGACTGTCTGCAATGCCTTGCAGGTTTACATGACAATCTTCAAGCTTAAAGCTTTGGGTTGGGGCTTAACAGCCAGGAGCTGCCAGGTTCTTCTGGTCATCTCTTTTAGTTGTTTGGCTCCTCCGTGTTTTCATACGATGATCTTTCACACTCGGTCGCTGCCTGTTTTACCCGTTGTGGCCTCTGTATTCACTTTCGTCTTGATTTTGCTTGCGCAGAGCTTGGCGCTGTGCTCCGCAGCCACCCGTGCTTTGCTCCGTGGTGGGAGTGATGAAGCCATTCGATGCTCGGCGTATTGCTTGTTCCTGAACGGAGTACTCGCAATTGTGGGGCCTACTCTCAGCTTGTGGTCATGGATGGCCATGGTTCACGATGATGGTTTTTTTTTGGCTGTGTGGGTGGTGTCGATTGATGTCGGCCTCCAAGTGCTTGCCACCCTTTTGCTGAGCGGCATGATTGGCCCGAAAGGCTGGGATCGGCCAATGGAAGCCTTCCGCAGGCTGGGCCACCTCTCGGGCTTCGGCTTGGCAGCAAGTCGGATCAACTTTCCGGGCAAGATCAACGCAAGAGCCACGCAATGCATTGTGTCTTTTCCGGGAATGTACAGCACCCAGTGGGACAATGCCGTGGCCAACGTTCAGCAGTTTGAGGATTGCTCTTTGGCCTGCGTGTTCTTCACCGACAAAGCTTCAGGCCTGGGGCAACACTCTGACAACCCCGACACGCCAGGGCAATGCTGGTGTCGGATGATTTACCCAGAGCTGCCGGCAGAGACGTATCTCAGCGTGGTGGACTTGAAGGGTGACTCTGATGGAGTTCTGACCAAAGAGAAGCCTTGCCGCGTTTGTTGTTTCGCTTTGGGTATGTTTGGAGATTTGCATGATGTAGGCAACATTCGGCATTCACTGCAAGGCAACAAAGCAGGTTCGATTGCAGCAGCGTGGGGGTGCTAGAACTAAAAACCTCATGAAAGTGAAAGGGGGACCTTCCGAGATTGTTTGGCTTGGTAGTGTGCGGACTGCACACTGATCGTTGATGAATATTGCGTTTTTTTTTTCCACACTTCGTTTCTCCCAGGAAGCTGGCCTTCAAAAAGGCGGATGCCGACGCCATGGGGCAGGTCCTGGTGATCAAGGACGACCAGCCGCAGATGGAATGGGAGGTCGAGTTTTCGCTTGCACTGAACGATGCAGAGGTCCGGTGCAAGGAAAACCGAGGGCGAGCCCCCTGGGGATGTCAGTGGTTCGAGAAGTCACTTAGCGGCACTTCAAGGCAAGCTGAGTCTTGTGTAAAAGCAATAATTAAGCAGCACGTGCTTTCGCCAAGTTTATACTGTTCAAGAGCCTGTGGACCGCTTTAGCCTCACAGGCAGTCGCTCGTCTTGACAACTAAGGTGGAGGATGAAAGTGGATGAAGCTGTCAGAGCAGGGCAGACGCTGCACGTGTTTTACTTTGCAGGTCCCGTTGCGTTGTGCTGCAGGTTTTGCTTGGAGTTCAAGTTCAAGAGTTGAAAGTTGGCTATCGCCAACCTGCGAAAAGGTTTTATGGTGGAAGTGCTCTCTCCAAACAAAACCTCGCCTCTCGAAGGTTATCGGTTATCGTTTTCCCTTCCTGAACCCTAACTGCCCCAACTAAACCCTGAACCTTTCTTCCAAAGGCAAGAAGGGTCGCGGCAAGCTGCCGTGGGAGAAGCTGTGCAGCGCAAAGGACAGGGCCACAGCCCGGGAGGACACCGGACTGGGTGCCTCGCAGACGGCTGAAGTGGCCTACTTGGAAAAGAATGGCTGCTTCGACTGAATCTGGGGGGAAGGGATTGCTTCGGCATGTTGCGGGGCGAATGCTTCCCTTGCAAGTCCTATTTTTTGTCTGCTGTTTTCGTTTTGCTCTGCGGGTGCTGTTCATTACCGTAGAACCTAGAAATCTGGATTGAACTAGTTCTGCGGTTTGATATCGGGTCGCCAACTCGACTGAGGAATCAAATATGAAGAGCACGATATCAGTGAGTTCGATGACTTCCTGCTGAGCCGCTCGGCGCCCATGAGCCCAAGGGTTTAGGGTTGAGGGTTTAGGGTTTAGGGTTTAGGTTTTAGGGTTTAGGATCGAACATCAATCACCGGTCTGTGAGACATCCCAGTAGCTATCGCAGAATTGAGTGGAACTGCAACGAGCCCAAGGGGAGTCACTTGAAACGGGCATGTTTCGAATCATCTACTTTCCGCTGCTCCATTTCAGGACCCTCGTGTCCACAACCGAATTCTGCACTGTTAGGCAAGGAACAAATTCCCCTGAATCTTCTTGGAAGGGAGCGAAAAGGGGGAGGATGGCGAAGAGCTAGGGAGGCGTTTTTGTAGAGATCTTTAGATGTTCCCTGCCCCAGTCTACAATATTGCCATTCGGATGCGTTCAACCATTTTCTGCCCTGTGAGGATCAACCAGACTATCAGTTAAAGCAAAGCCACTCAGGGCGTGAACGGACTTACCCGGGTGACCCTAAGAAGGTTTCCCCATCACTTGCGTGATCCCAGTGGCACATGGAGCACGCGGAGAAGACGCCTAAGCTCGACGAGAGGCGCTCATCCAACACGTTGGCCTTGGCCGAGACAGTTGCTTGAACTGGTGAGGCACTTGTGCCGCAGGAAAGCCATCCAGGAAGCTTTAATTTCATTCGGCCGTACGGCGTACGGGGACAGTGCGGCGCGCAGAAGAATGAAGCATGCTTTTGGAAGCTGCTGGATAGCCGTTTGCCCTAAGCCTTAAAAACCACACAAACCCGAAGTGTGGCTAACAGGCTTCGGCGTCGGTCATCCCAGAAGAGACGATGCAGAGGCCGGACCTCCGTTGATGGTTGTCGGAGGTGTTTCCTAGGTTGTCGTTGCAGACGCCAGATTTTGTGATTGCTGCTGTTTGCTATTGTTGTTGTAGTGTACCCCAGGCGTACACCAGGCAGGGTTGTGCGATGCGGTTGTTGATTTCCCTGTTTTGGGGGGGGTTCAGGATGATTTTAAAAAGAACCATCTCCCACCCTAGTTCAGTAGTGCGGGCTCGCAAAATCTCACGACCCCCCTAAGCCCCCTTTCCTGGCCCATGTCCTTAACCCTAAACCTTAAACCCTCTAACCTGGGCCCGAAACCCCAAAATCCGATAAACCCGAAACTCCCCAACCTCAAGGAGCTTGCACTCAGAGTTTCAACTCCACGGCTTCGCGAAGCTGCATCGGGGCCACGTTCCCTTGAGCAATGAAGCCATCGCCGGCATCCCAGCCAGATAGGGGTTGGATTCTGGGCCTGGGTTCATTAGGCCATGCTGCATGTGCCAGGTCTTCAAGAGTTTTGTTGTGTGTCAGGGCGAAGTGAGTACATCGTTCGGGATTCGCACCAAAGGGATCTGCAGTTCTCAGGAGTTGCCACTTACGGAAGCTCAGTGCAGTGCAGCACTCCGTGCACGCCGGGTTGAAATGTAACTCGAAACTGGTGGCCCAAGCATAAGACATGTTCTGAGCGCTACGAACTCCCCTGAAGCCTGGGATTGTGCAGATCTGGGTCAGGGGGAGTTCTTGGGTTGATAGGGTTGTCTTGCCCTAGGCGTTTGTGGCCGCGTTCCCCTCAACGCCGTACACAAGGCGCGAGTCTCGAGTCGCTGGAAGCTGCAGAGGCCTCACAAGGAGGGGCCCCCTTACTATGCTAATTATAGTTAAGGGACTTATAACATAAGTTAGGATCCTTATAAACCAATTTAGGGTCCTTATAACTCTACTTATAGCTAGGGGGGCCACTCCTTGTACCTAGACCTTCGGCAGTTCCTTGGTTGGGATCCCTGTTGTTCTTCCTGGTGAAGTACGAAGCAGCCCAAGAAATGAACTACAATTGAGGGTCTAGCCTGGGCCTTGCATAAGAACCCCACCCAAAACAAAGCAAAAAAGAGTATCCCAAACAGGTCACATATTTTTAGGACCGTACCACTTTGGGGCGGGAGGTTTGGGGGACCGTATGTTTGATTGCGTTTGATTGAAGGAGACAGGGCTTAGGCTGTTTTGGGGTTTAGGCGTCTAGGCTTCGAAGTAGCGTTTAGGCTTTAGGTAGTTTAGGCGGGAGAGCTGAGATTTGGTGGCTCTTGCAGGCCGGCGGCTTCTATCGAGACTCCAAGAAGGAGATGGGCCAAAAGGTTTTTGGGGTTTTTGGGGATGATAGCTGATGGCCTGGTGCAGGGAAGGCCCTCCCCCCCCCCACCTTGCTCTACTAGCTGCAGCTAAGTATCTTAGCAAAGCTAAGTGAGAGCACCTACAAACCAATCTAGCGCCCTGCCCTGGCAATTCTACCTGTACCTGGGGGCCCTCAAGTATCCGAGATATTCCGGATCATTCATATTTGTCGTTCAGACCTCATGACATATGCCACCTCCCCCCCTGACCTCACCAACTTCGAGGAGCCGCGGTATATACGTAGGGATGTTTAGGGTTTAGGTTGGGTGTTTGCCGCGCGGCTATAGATATCGCACTGTTGATCTGAGTGAGGGTCCACTTCCATAGCATATCAAAGAAGGGGCCCATAATTTCAATCTTCAAGCATGTCGCCATTGTCCACCAAAACACCAAACCCTGAAACCCTACAACCCTAAAACCTAAAAGCCCTGGGGTTTAAGGGTTTGGGCTTTCCGTTTTTCAGGGCACCCCGGGCACTCTACCACAGGCTGGAATATTTGGGGCCCAGCTGTAGTCATCGCCCCAGCGTTCCCACTCACATCCGGGGATTTGGGGTGGGATCGGGGTTTAGGGTTTAGGGTTTAGGATTTAGGGTTTAGGGTTTAGGATTTTGTGTATAGGGTTTAGGGTTTGGGGGCTCGAACTTATAGACCTTGGGGGTAGCTAAGCAGTTCACGATGTTGGGCTCAGAGCCTTCCCTCAACTCCTAAACCGTCTACGCCCAAGGGTGGGGAGTTGATCTAAAGGTCCTTCCAGGAAGTCGTTGAGGGTTCTTCGTCGGTTTTTTTTCAGGGAAAAAAGAGGGTTCTATAAGGAACACATAAGCTCATTTTGGGGAGCAGGTATGTTGATCCATCACCATGTCAGGGTTTTATTGTTCTGTGGCTCGGAGGTGGTGTGGCTGCGGGCTACAGGTATCTAGTTGGAGCACGTTTCTACATTAGCCCTTTTGCTAGTAAGGCTACAAATGGTTTGTGGCAATTTTCCCAAAACCCCTAATTCCTAAACCCTAAACCTCAAAGCTATACCTATAGTTACTATAGTATGGACCCCAAAACATCCTCAACGCCCTTCAAGCCCTTGGACATGTCTCCATGGACTTCCTACAGCCCGCTTGTGAGTGATGTAAACCCTGACCCCTAAACCCTAACCCCTAAACCCTAAACCCTAAACCTAAACCTTAAACCACTTTGGGGTGAGTGCCTCTGCGTGGGGCATTTGCCGGCTCGGACATCGAATTCCCAAGGCCTGAAGCTTTACAAGCCCGGCTCGAAGTTATCAGCTGTCGGGCGTTTAGGGTCTAGCCAGGCACCCCGACAAAGGTCACGAAGGTACGTCGCGATCCTTTTCAGGCCCCCAATGTTCTTCTCAGCAAATGCCTCAAAGAGCCCCGAAGCCCGCAACCCTCAACCTAATATAGGGGCCTGAATAATTGGAATGGGGTTTTGGGGGTTCTTCTAGTATATTTATAAAGGGACCCCAAGGGCATATTATCAGAAATTATTCCGACCCCTATTTTTTTTCCGCGCACCCAGCCCTGCAACACTTAACCCTCAACCTAAGAACTAAAATGCTAGATCCCTAAACCCTAAACCCTAAACCCTAAACCCTAAACCCTAAACCTTAGATCCTCAACCCAAAAACCGCGAATCTGTACCCATGGCTCTGATGCTCAGCGGCTCACTGACGCTGCTTCTATCGCGGCCCGCGCTGCTGGCCTGAACCCAAAAGTTTCAGAATGAATGTCTGTTACACAACATATAAGGAGGCCCCCCCCTAGTTATAAGTGGAGTTAGTCCCCTAAACAGTACAGCTTCGCTGAGTTTTCTTTCAAAAACAAATAGGGACCCTAAATTGGGTTATAAGGATCCTAACTTAAGTTATAAGTCCCTTTTGTTAGCATAGTAAGGGGGCCCCTCCTTGTATGGGGGTTTTCGAGAACCCCCAATATGGACCCCCCCAAATTGTAGGATATTCTTTATAATAAGGACCCCAACAAGCTACCCCTAATTTCGGATTCTAACCTTTGCAGGCCGGTTAAAACTCATAAAAAAATAGTGTCCCCAATAATCGAATTCCAGGTGCTGCCAGCACACCAGCCCACTTGAGAGACAGACGGCAACTCTTCCAACGAGGCCAATGGGTCGGGACGTTGGGGGTGTTTAGGCCCCAAACCCTGTTAAGCCCTAAACCCTAAACCCTAAGCCCTAAACCCTAAACCCTGTGAAGCCCTAAACCCTAAACCGCTCCTTGGTTTGGGGCGTTAGGGTTCAGAGTTTCGGCAGCACAGCCAGGTTCGGGTGCATAGCGCATCTAAGCTCAGTAGCTGCTCTGCCCAGTTCCCAGACGCTGCTTTTCCCTGTAAGGGTTAAGCCGTAAACCCCAAACCCTAAACCCATTGAAGCTTTCGGGTTTGCGGCTTTCCGTTTCCGCTTGCCGCCGCTCCTGCGCGCACAAGCCTAGGGGACTCTGAAACCCAATCCCAACCCCTAGACCCTGCAGTTTGACACCTGCAAACCTTGGTAGCCCAGTTGTGATTTTGTTGCCCCTTTTTTTCTGGTTCAAGGTTTCCTTCTAAAGTAACCAACCCCAAAAAGGGCACCCTTATGGTAATCTGGTTGCTAGGCTACCAAGTAAGCCCCTAAACCCTAAACACCTAAACCCCACACCCCAAGCCCTGCCCTGAACGCCAGAAACCGAACCGTAGCCCCCGAACCCTCAACCCACCCACCCCCACTTCAACCCTGGGAGTGCGGCACGGTTTGGGGCTCAGGGTTTAGGGCCCAAATCTTGGTTTCTTCGGATCTTAGGATTTTACGGTTTAGGGTTTAGGGTTTAGGGCCCAAATCTCCGGAATTGTCTACACTCCTGCGCTCTGGCAAACCGCTGGATAGTTCGGTACCAAACGTAAGGGGACAGAAGGTAGAAAATTCCCTCATTCTCTACTATGTTTTTTGTTATGTGTTCTGCGTCTTTCTTCTTGCTAGGAAAATTACGTAGCTTGACAGGCTCAACTTGTTAACTTGTTAACTCCTGGTGATGGACGAAGTAAGCCTCCCCAAGCCATAACCCCTAAACAGGGTTTAGGATTTAGGGTTTAGGGTTTAGGGTCTAGGGTTTAGGGGAACCTGTCTTTGGAAGCCCCAAGCACCAGGCCTGTCGATGTTCGCCGGGACCCGGAGGCGTTTGTGGTTCTTGTTGCTCTGGTTAAGGGTTTATAGGGTTTAGGGTTTAGGGTTTAGGGTTTAGGGTGTACAAGGAGGGGCCCGCCTAGTTATACTTAGACTCAGAATGGCCCTAAATTGGGGTTACCAGGATCCGAACTTAGGGAGTACGCCCCTTAACGAGGGGTCCCTTCCTTGCACAAGGCTTTCAGCACATGAAAGTCTAACCTCAACCGCAAGCAACCTGCTGAAGCTGCTTCCTAGCTCGCTCATACGTTTACGCCGTGTTGGGGCCAGGGAAAATAGCTTGCAAGGGCTATTAGGGCGATTTACACCCTAAATTCTAAACCCTACAACGGATCAGAGTCTATTTGGGGTTTATTGCTTAGTCTGCAGGGATGGAGACAAGTGGAGGTTGGGAACGCGGCTTTAAGTTTATGCTTCGGCTTGTTGACTTCTTGAGAACCCTGAACCCCTAAACTCTACTATCAAGCCCTCAACCCTAACCCCAAACTCACTTTCGGGTAGATGGATGTTCGGAATCATGGGCTTCCGTGAATGAGTTCCACCTTGGACCGCCCTTAAGTCCGGGACTCCTTGAACCTGTATGGTTTAGGGTTCTATAGGGGGTTAGGGCTTGAGGGTTTAGGGTGTAGAATAGTGTAGAGCTTTTGGGCTCTGGAGTTCAGTTGTCAGGGACTCAGGATTTAGTTGTTGGAAGCTCTTGGCTACAGCAGAGCAACCAGCAGAGCCGTTCGTTTCATAGCATGGCTTGACGATTGAGAACTGATATCGTGTGGCCCGGAACCAACCTGATGCAAGACATCCCTCACTGGGAGTGGGTTTGAAGGATGAACTTTGACTCAGGTTTAGAGATTTAAGGTCCAAGTTTAGTGGACATGCCTACCAACCTCGGCGGAACAAGAGGTGCGTGTTGTTTTGGACCCCATGGAGCATGAATATGCCCTAAACACGAAACCCTAAACCCTAAACCCGAAACCCTAAACCCTAAACCCTTAACCCTTAACCCTAAACCCTAAACCCTAAACCCCAAACCTAAAGAAGCAGGCCCGACGAGCCTTGCTGGCCACGGCAGCAAGCAGGACGGCCCGCCGAGGCCGATGTGGGCGCCTGGCAAGCCTTCAATGGCTGAGTAGTGGAGTAGGTAACCTTTTTCCCTTTAGGGTTCAGGGTTTAGGGTTTAGGGTTGAGGGTTTCGGGTTTAGGGTTTAGGGTTTAGGGTTCCTACCATTGTTGAAAGGTTAGCCTTTTTGTTGGCTCAGGGTAGTCAGCCACTAGGATGATGTTTTCAAAGTCCTTTAAGGTTGAGGGTTTAGGGTTTAGGGTTTGAGAATTAGGGTTTAGGGGTTTACTGGTTTCGGGCTTAGGGTTCAGGGTTGCGACCTCTGCTTACGAGTTTTTTCGTCTGGGGAAGCTCCCGTTTGTGGTGCCGCTTCGAAGCAGATGCCAGTGGGAGTATAGCCACAGTCACATGGCCATCTGAAGTCATGTTTCTGACCGCAGAGCTGTGTTGCAAAAAGACGAATTTGTAATACCCAGAGCTAAGTAAACGCAAGTATGATGCTTATCACGAATCTACGAATACTTGCAATGAAGTAAGTAATCAAATTCCATGGCCGTTCCGGTTCGAGGCCTAAGGCGAGGTCCCCTGAGATAGGACCGAGGGCAGTGCGGATCCTCAGAGAGTTTTGGGTATGGGGTTGTGTCTTCCTTGGTGTTTAGGTGGGAAGGCTGGGCTAATTTACAGCGGAAACCAGAACCTTCAGCTGCCCACGGCCCCTGCCCCGACTCTGACCAGGTTGGAATGTACCGCAAAACGCTGCCTTCACTGAGCAAGCAGCCGCTCTGGATGACTGGCTGGATGACGACGTGGATGCTCCAGCAGTGGTCTTAGTCTCAGTCTAAGACAGGAGCCTAACCTGTTAGCAGCATTTTCCCCCTTAGAGTTCCCAGATGTGACCCTTGGAAACTAACTGTATCACTTGCTACTTGGGCGCCCGAGCACTGCCAGATGGTCCCAAGCGGGTCTAAGTATCTATTGCAACCATAAACCATGTAAGCCCTGTAAACCCTATAAACCCTACTAAACCCTTATAGACCCTGTGAACCCTATGCACCCTATGAACCCTAAGTCCTACTTATCTTTTGGTACCTGAATCCTTTTGCGCCTAGCTTGGGTTAGGGTGTAGGGTTGGTCGGATTCTTCCTTAAAGGTTAGGATGCTCCCCAGAACCCTAAACCCTAACGCCTTGAAAATCATCGTTTAGGGTTTAGGTTTAGGGTTTAGGGTTTAGGGCTTAGGGCTTAGGGCTTAGGGCTTAGGGCTTAGGGCTTAGGGCTTAGGGCTTAGGGCTTAGGGCTTAGGGCTTAGGGCTTAGGGCTTAGGGCTTAGGGCTTGGCAGCCCAGTGGTACCCTCTACCCTTTTTTGGGGTTCTGCGTTTCCTTCACAAAATAACCAAAAAGAAGGGTACCCTTACTATAAGATGGTTACGGGGCTACCAAGGCTCAGGATGCTCCCCATAACCCCCTAAACCCTAAACCCTAAACCCTAAACCCTAAACCCTAAACCCTGGAGAAGGGTTATCATTCATTGTGAAAGAGGTGCAGGACATGCCTGTTGTGGAACCCTAAACCCTAAACCCTTAACCCTAAACCCTAAACCCCTCTTAAGGACGGGGGAACATCCCAAGTTTTAGGGGTTAGCCTACGCACCGGCCGAGGCCGCGGAGATTCCACCACTGGGCCTATCTTTCGGTGCCAACGGCTCCAAGCTGGCAGATGCCCCGCTAAAGGCTGGGTTTGTGGTTTAGGGTTTAGGGTTTAGGGTGTAGGGTGTAGGGTTTAGGGTTTAGGGTTTAGGGCTGCAGGGTGGTGGCGGCTGTTGGGGTTTAGGGTTTGGGGCTTGGGTTTTCAGGAGTTGGCTTAGAACCCCGAAACTCAAAGCCGAAACCATGACAGAGACCCAAGAAGACAAGAACACCAAGTGCCGATCGCAAGCCTTGTTGTGCCGAAGATACCTGGACTCTAGACAGTCCGTTTCATGTGTCTCCTGAACCCGACACTGTGCCAAATCTGAGATACCCTTCAAGCCCTAACCCTAAACCCTCAACCCTAAACCCACTTTCGCATGAAGCGGCTTGCTTCCGAAGGTTGGGCATCTAATTCAACTTGGAAGTCTCCTCCCTCTCCCCTCACCCTCACCCCCGACCTAAACCCTAAGCCCTAAACCCTAAAGCCCCTTCTTCGGCCTGAGGGCATGATTTTTGGCCTTTAGGCTCTTCGCGTTTAGGGTCTGGGGCTTTAGTTCTTTCTGTTTGTTCAGCACTATCTGGCAGGGCCTGCTCAAGAAGTGGCCACTGCCGGATTTGAAGAACTCCCTGGCAGTCGCCTTGATGGACGAGCATCGCTATGAGGACGCGCTTAGATCCACACCTCGTGATTCCTCTTCAGAAGGGCTTCTGTTACCCATAACGGGCCCCGAGTTTCGGACGGCCCAAATTCTCCAAGGAGGTTGCCAGGGTCAGGAAATATGAAGGTATATGCAGGGATACAGTTGTGGTAGTCTTAGGGTTTGTTTAGGGATTAGGGTTTAGGGTTTAGGGTTTCGGGTTTAGGGTTTAGGGTTTAGGGTTCCCACCATGGGTCTAGCAGAGTCTTCGCCGGAAGTGGCCAAGTCTGATCCTCACCTATAGATGGAGGCCGCCGAACCGCCCAAGCTTCGCGAGAGACCGGATGCTGCTTTCGGTTCAGGGTTTAGGGTTTAGGGTTTAGGGTTTAGGGCTTAGGGCTTAGGGTTTTGCAGCAGGAATTTCGTGCACAACAGATGGTGCAGGAGGGCCCCGGGAAAGAGGTGCAGCTGCAAGAGAAGGCGATGAATCTGAACGTGAACCGCCATATGAGTTTTCTGAGGCCGGAGCAAGTACAGTGAGGGACAATGTGCAATGTGCCCCATAAACTAGCTTCGTGTCCTGCAGAAGCACATCGTATTGACCCTGATGCGCTGGTGACAGCTACAGGAACCGGAGGCACTCGCTGCCAGGGAAGCATCGCAAGCTCCGTGCGCGGGTGTGGTTGAGCTCGAAGGGTCAAAATACGCCTGGCGAATCACGCCCGAAGGATTGAAACTTGAGAAACAGGCCCCAACGGTAGCTGAAATCTTAACCCAAAGAGCTAGATCACCTTCTAAGCCCAGAATCCCCAACAGCCCAAAGCAAACCTAAAAGCTTAGGACGCGGAATGAAAGCCCTCAGAGGTCAAAAGTATAGGAGCTGAGCTGCGTGAAGATGTGATTGCCTCAAGGTTGTTTTCGACCGCTGCCATAGTGTATGAAACGATGTGTCGGTATCAACCGAAAGGTTCGGGGGAAAGACAGCGATTATGAAATACTTGGTTGAGCCTGAGCCCTGTGTTACAGTGTCGGAAGCTGTTCGAGGAATCAGAAAGTGGCGCAGGTGGTTGACCAGGGCAGTTGAGCTGGGAGTGTCCTTGCCCGACACTTCGCTCCAAGTGCGTGGACTTGATCGCCTGTGCCCCCCTAGTCTTTCCACTACATCCGGCCTTATGAGGAAGCATAAGATCTGCCGGTGGAGGCCCAGCCGTTCGTGGTAGGGGCGCCCTTCACCCTCTGCGACAGACTTCTCTGAACATCACTTAATGAGGCTCCCAGAAAGCCACCGAGAAGACAACAAGCAAGCCTGAGTGACGTTCGGTTCCATGCCACCGTCTTCTAAACCTCAAAGCTTCAACCCGACAGCTTTATGGCGTTTAGGGGTTCAGGGGTTTAGGCTTTAGGTTGTAGGGCTTAGGGGTTGAGGACTGTCGGGTTTAGGGTTTAGGGTTGAGGGTTGAGGGTTGAGGGTTGAGAGTTTAGGGTTTACTGTTTAGGGTTAGCCTTACCCAGTCAGTCCTTAGCCCCCTAAGTACTCCTATGAAGAGCCGCCGACCCCCCGAAGGAGGCAGCGCAGGCATTGAGGGAGGCCGTATCCCTGGCACCCGACCGCCCGGAGTGCCTTGGAGCAGAAGCCCCTGTAGGGTTTAGGGTTTAGCCAACACTCTACCCGAAACCTCAAGCCGTCTTGAGCCCTTAAACCCACCACCCTACATCCTAAACCATCGCAAGCCCCAAGCCCTAAAGCCCGAACCACTTAAAGAACGGGGTTTGGAGTTTCGTACTTCGGGCTCCACGGATTCAGAGTTGAAGAGGTCGGCTGCAAATCTCAAGTTCCATCAGTTTACTGGCTGGTAACCTGCTTGGTTTGAGCCGTGGTTCCCTTTGAAAAGGTGTACAAGTACCATGAGGACCAACCCCCAGCTCTCATATACCCACACCTTGGGATGTTCCCCCTTATACGAACAGTCCTCAATAGGGAATATAGTACCCCCCCTCCCCATTATAATCCCGACTAAGGATTGTTAGCATGAGGGGGAATATCCCAACCCAAACCTCTAAAACCCGAACCCGGAACCCTAAAACTCTGCAGCCTTTTGGCTCCCAATTAGGCTCAGCCTAAGGGTTTAGGGTTTAGGGTTTAGGGTTTAGGGTTTAGGGTTTAGGGTTTAGGGTTTAGGGTTTAGGGTTTAGGGTTTAGGGTGGGCTCCTAGGCTTGAGGATTGAGGGCCTTGTTCTGACGGATGTGTGGGCGGGCCTATAGGGTTGAGGGACTTCGGGTTGACGGTTTTTAGTGTTTAGGGTTTAGGGTTTAGGGTTTAGGGTTTAGGGTTTAGGGTTTAGGACCTCCTGGAGACCCCAGCGAGGCTCCACTACAACCTGGGAACGGCCCTGAGCGCTCGGAGCCTCCATCATGAGGCCTTCCTGGGGGCTGAAGTCAAGGGAGACTTGTTTCTTGGACCCCTGAGGATGTACCCTTTAAAAGGTTCCCTTAATCTACTCCTTATATGTCCCTTATATTCCCCTAGGGAATTTTTCCAACCCCTAAAGATGTACCCTTTAAAAGGTTCCCTTAATGTACTCTTAACATGGCCCTTATATTCCCCTAGGGAATATTTCAAGAGGGTCCCCAAACCCAAGGGTACAACCCATGATTAAGGGTTTACATGGGTGTTGGGGTTAAGAGTCTATGGGGGTTTTGGCTTCAGGGTTGGCTTTTCGCTGAAGGGTTTCGGGGTTTTGGCTTCAGAGTTTATGGGTTTGGGCTTAAGAGTTTATAAGTTTTGAGTTTAGGGTTCAGGGATTTGGGGTCATGTACTATGGAGGGGAAGACTTGCAGGGTTTAGTAGCGTCGAGGGTAAGTCTATGGGCTTTTCAAGGCTTAGCCTTACGGGTAGATAGCGCAGTGTCGTCTAAAGCGAGTGCTGAGGTTTTGGGTTACGGGCTTACTGTGACCTCTCAAAGAGACCTCAAAGCCAAGATTCAACAAGGCTCATACCCAGAAAGCCTGCAATCCCAACTTGCCCTGCATCGTAGCTTAGTAGCGACCCGAAACCCTAAACCAGGATTGCTGGGATGCTTTTCTTTGTTGAGGCTACGTCGCCTCACAAACTCAATGAAGCAGAAACGGGCAACCTTTTTTTCATTCCCAGGTTCCCAGACAACCTATCCGAAACCCTAAACACTACACCCTGAACCCCCTAAACCCAAACCCGAAACTCTAAACCGTAAACCCTAAAACCCCCTGTAACCCCGTAAAACCGAAACCCTAAACCCTAAACCCTAAACCCGAAACCCTAACACAGCTTAAAGCAAGCAGTTTTGCAACACAGGCCCTGGTCGCCTATGAGGCAGCGCTGGCGCTGAGAAACAAGCTTCGCGGTGGCTTTCGGGGGCCTTAGGGTTTACAGGGTTTTGGGTTTTGGGTTTAACGTACTTCTACCTGGTTAAGAACAGCCATAACATGAAAAATGATCCCTATATGGCCCTTATACGGGAAGAATATGTAAATCTTCCGTGGTTCTTAAGCAAATCGAGATAAAGGCCGAATCCCGAAGTCCAACCTGCGAGGTTTCCGGCTGCACACTTCAACTTGGCGAGGAGCCAACTCGTTCCTCGGGCCAATGACTTGGCAGCCCAGTGGTACCCTTTACCCCTTTTTTGGTTCTGGGTTTAGGGTTTAGGGTTTCCTTGAGAAGTAACCAACTCCCCAAAAGGGTGCCCTTATTATCAGATCGTTACTGGGTTGCCAAGATGATAGGGGTGCTTCAAGTTGAGATTCGGGCTTCGGGCTTCGGGGTCTTGAGGGAGGGGTGTCTATGTGTGGGACATAAACCTCAAGCCCTTCAAGCCCTAGCTCCTTCTAACCCCTTAAACCCTTGAAGCCTTAGGCCCTTACGCCCGGGTCCAGCTTTTTTTTCCGTATTTCTTCTGGTTCTTGTTTTTTCGTATTTTTCATGGCTTAGGGTTTAGGGTGGGTTTAGGGTTTGGGGTTTAGGGTTTAGGTTTTCGAGGCTCTGGCAAACGATGCCAGCAGAGACGACAGGGACTTTTGGGACCCTGAGGCAAGGGGAGCATGACGTTGGTTTGAGTTTGGGGGGTTTGATGTTTTGGGGTAGACTTCGGGTTTGGGGCTTCTATTTGGTGGGATTGAGTGTTTCGGGTTGTTGAGTTCGGGGTTCAGAGTTTGGGCTTTGTGTCGTGACTCAATCGCTCTAAGGACTCTTGTTTTAGGGTTTTGGGTGCAAAGGCCATTCTATGAAAGGCCTGCACATGTTTCTTGAGGGTTTAGAGGGTTTCATCCCACAGGCCCTGCCTTGAGTCATGTACCTCACGCAATGGCTATTGCCACAAACTGAGGTTCACTTCCACTTTACAAGGGGTTTAGGGTTTAGGGTTTACTGGGTTTGGGGCTTTAGTATCTTCGGCTACCCTAAACCCTCAACCCTAAACCCTAAACCCTAAACCCGTGTTGAACCCTTTGCAAACTTTATCCCAGCAGGCACGCCAGGCACGCCTACTGAGCGCTCTGGACCACCTGCGGTGCGCAAGTGACGGCGAGGTGACTGGCAGGGCGGTTTAGGGTTTAGGGTTTAGGGTTTGGGGTTTAGGGTTTAGGGTTTAGGGTTGAGGGTTTATTCTGCAAGAGGATACCCCTGCTTAAGGTCAAAAGACTGTCCACACATACAACTAGGGCCCAGCGTAGGCCCTTATTCCCTTCTTTAAGTGTTTGGGTTCCCTGATACACACCTTTTATTGCTCTTGAGTCTAGTCAAATCAAAACCTTCTGAGGCAAGTGGGTTCAGCCTCAACCCTAGACCCTAAACCCCAAACCCTAACCCCCAATTTGATGTGCTCCGTTTGCATGGCTGTCCGGGGCTCCCGTGGGCCGGGATGTTGGGGGTTTCCGCGCACCGCGCTGATAGGCTGCGCAGAACCCTGAGGGTTTAGGGTTTAGGGCCTAAACCCTAAACCCTAAACCCTAAACCCTAAACCCTAAACCCTAAACCCTAAACACAAAACAAACCCTAGACCCTAAACTCTCGTTTTAAGGGCCCTGTTGCCGCATAGTCAACACTAAGCCCGAAACAACCCTCCCAAAACCCGAACTTTGGTTTAGGGTTTAGGGTTTAGGGTTTAGGGTTTAGGGTTTAGGGTTGGCAATCCGAGCCCACAAGCCTGGAAGATGGTCTTGGTGCTGAGGGCGCGGGGTTGAAGCCTGTGGCTCTCAACTGCTATTTGCTTAAGTACCCTCACAAACTTAAAACATAATCCCAAAATTGCCCTTATCAGGAAGAGTTTTAGTTACTTGTTTGGGTGGTTCTTAAGCAAATAGCAGTAAATGAGGGTTTGTAGGGCTCAGGGTAGTTGTTAATGTTTGGGGTTTAAGTTTAGGCGCTCTGGGCTTTAGGGCATTCGTGGGGGGGTAGTGGGTAAACAAACAGCCTCCCGGTCACAGGTGCAGGACAAGACAGAGACTTTGAAGTCAATGGAAGAGGCCAGCAGCGCCCCAACATAGACTCTAAACCGTAACCCTAAACCCTAAACCTAAACCCTATAAACCCGATAAACCCTGTAAACTCTATAAACCCTATAAACCCTGTACGCCCTACACAGCCTCACCTTGAACCTTATAAACCCTCAACCCTAGACCCTCTAAACTCTACAAACCCCTTAAATCCTATAAACCCTAAGCTCCCTCGCCCCAGAGGACAGAGTTAAAATTCCGGGTCGACCGTGACCACGTTAGGGTTTCTAAGGTTTAGGGTTTCTAAGGTTTAGGGTTTCTAGTTCTTGAATGAACAAGGCCTCTGCGCCCTCCCAAACCTTCGTCCCTACACGCCACAAGCCCTCGGGTGATCTCTTCACGATGCTGCCCTCAACCCTGAGCCCTCGACCCTGTACCCATCACACTGAACCCTAAGCCCTACGCCTACGAAGCCATAACTCCTAGAACCGTCCCATGGCTCTAACGGTAGTTTCATGGGCCCTTAATATGGTCCCGTACCCTCCTTAAAGGGTTCTGATGTATGGGGCCCTTGGGTAGTATAGGGTGTGTAAGGGGTATACAAGGGGCCCCCGTTGTAAGGAACCGCATGAAGGGGCCATGTAACCACCCTAAGAAGAACTCCCATCAACCCTAAAACCTCTAAACTTTAGGAGCTCCAATACTGACTCTCAAACTTCGACACACTCGGGAGGCATATTTCCAGCTTGGCCGCTGGCAAGAGGCGCCGGAAATCTCAGGGGCTTTAGGGTTTTGAGGGGTTTAGGTTGGGATGCTCCCCCTTATGACTATCAGGGGGTACTATAATCCCAATTACGGACTGTTGGTATAAGGGGGAACGTCCCAAGGTTTGGGGCTGGCCAGGGCTCACGTTGTTGTGGGTTTAGGAGGTTGAGGGTGTTGGGGGCTGCAGAGTTCAGGTGCCCATGGCCTCTTTTTTGTCCATGGGAGGGTTGGGGAGGGTTAGCAGGGCTCAGGTTTTCACTTGTTTGTCAAGGTGATGATAGGTCTTATGATTTGTTGGGTTTATATAGGAGGTTTAGGACTTGAGGGTTTAGGGCTTCGGGCTTGGGGTTTAGGAGTTTAGTGTTTAGGGGCCCAGGAGCACCTGCATTCCAAGGGCCTTTTTCCCTTCTAAAACCTGCTGTGCAAAGAAGAACAAGCTTTTTATTCTTAGGTTGCTGGGCAACCTCGGCTTTGCAGTTTTGCGCTCTCAGGTGGTGAGTGTAAACCCTTAAATCTAAACTCTCAACTCTAAACCCCAAACCCTAAACCCTATTCCATGTTGCTCCCATGCGCGCAGGCCCGGGAGGCGTACCGTCAACTGCTGGCCTTGGCCCCGCACCAGGGCCTGAAGGCGGAATAGGGTTCAGGGTTCAGGGTTTAGGGTTTATGGGTTTAGGGTTTAGGGTCTAGGTTTTAGGGTTTAGGGTTACCCTGAAATCTAAACCCGAAACCCTAAACCCTAAACCCTACTTCAACCCAATTGCCTGGACAAACTGAAACTTGAGAGCGCCTCGAAACCCCTAAATCCTACACCTAAATCCGACTGTCAACCCGACACCCTAAACAACCGCCTAGACCCTGAACCCTTTGAGGGCTTCAAACCGGGACCAACTTAAACCCCAAACCCCTAGCCCTAAACCCTAAACCCCAAACCCCAAACCCTAAACCCTAACCCCCTTTCCGCTCTGAAGGTGCGGCGCCCGGAGAGCTGCCGAAGCCTCGCAGCCTGGCTTGAGGACCAACTGAGCCGGCGAGGGTTTAGGGTTTAGGGTTTAGGGTGTAGGGTTTAGGGGATAGGGTTTAGGGTATAGGGTTTAGGGTTCTTAGTAGGTAATTAGGGCATGAGATCCCCTATATCCCCTATAGATACGCTTTAAGGGAAGACGTAGGGAACCTACTTCCCCCAATTCTTACTAAGAACCAGGAGGGTTTGGGGGGCTAGGGTTTTCGGAGTTTAGGGCATTTGGGGTTCAGGAGTTTTGCGGTTCAGGGGTTTTAGGGTTCAGGGTTTTGGGTTAAGGGTAGGAGTGTTGAGGTTGAGGGTTTAGGTGTGGTTTTGCTTCTTCTGTTTGTTGGCCGGGGATCTTAGCGGAGTAAACTTTCGCGAGGTTGCCGGGGAGAATCCTGGAAGGGGTCGTCGGCCGTCAATGATGTAGGTTTCGGGATCTCAAGGCAGGGTTTGGGGTTTAGCTTTCAGCCCCTATAAACCCTAAACCCCAAATGCCCTGATCCCTAAACCCTAAACTTTCCATACCCTAAACCCTAAACCCTAAATCCTAAACCCTAAACCCTAAACCCTAAACCCTAAACCCCAACTTATCCCTTCAGAGTCTCGGTGCGCGAACCCACCCTTGTCCAGGACCGACTCTTGGAGCTGGAGGCGGGTTCGGGGTTTAGGGTTAGGGTTTAGGGTTTAGGGTTTAGGGTTTAGGGTTTAGGGTTTAGGGTTTAGGGTTCAGGGTTCAGGGTTCAGGGTTCAGGGTTCAGGGTTCAGGGTTCAGGGTTCAGGGTTCTTTGGGGTTTCGGGTTTGAGGTTAGGGTTTGGGGTTTAGGGTTTTGGGTTTGGGGTTTGGGGTTGGGTGGGGTTTAGGGTTTGGGGTTTAGGGTTTAGGGTTTGGGGTTTGGGGTTTAGGGGTTTGGGGTTTAGGGCTTTGGGGTTTAGGGTTTGGCGGTTTAGGGTTTGGGGTTTTTCGGTTCAGAGCTGGGTTTGAGGGTTTAGGGTTGGGGGGTTTAGGGTTTGAGGCACAGCCCCCGCAAACCCAGAGCCCATGCCCAATACTCTGCGCCTATAGGCTGGGCATCTCGTTCGGTGTGTTGTCACTCCAGGTCTTCCCTGAACCCAAGCCCTTTAACCCCACACCTTAAAAAACCTCGAACCCTACAAACAAATCCCTTAGCCCTGAAACCAAACCTTGAACCCCATAACACCTAGAGAGGACTCAGAAGTGCACGCCTATCCAGCGTTGCCACCGGGCTTCCGGGAAGAGCTCTGCAGCTGGGAGGAGGCAGACTTCTGAAGTTCTTATATATCTCGAGTTCAAGTGGGTATATGCATGTAGACACATTTGTCGAGGTATGCGTTGAAGTTGCGGTGTCAAGCATCGTAAGAGAAGAAGAAATAGTATGCCGCAGCAGCCGCAGCAGCCGCAGCAGCAGCAGCAGCAGCAGTTGCAGTTGTTATGGGAGACATACCACCTGCTGAATTGCTGCTAGGGCACTTGCGTTTTCGTTGTGAAGTTGCTGGAGGGAGTGTTGCTTGATGTTCGTGCTCCACAAGTTTCAGTTTCAAGCAGCTGCCTGTGACCCGACGACATGCCATTATCAGAACGAACACCTGAGAATCTTCCGCCACTCGCTTTTGTTGTCCAAAAAATGATCCTGCAGCCCTACAGGCAACGCTTTGCTTGGAAGGTCATTCCTTTGGGAAGAGTCATCCTGCAAGGGCGAACCTTAATATTAAAGGCGACTGAGAAGGTGTACCTGCCCTTGAGCAGTTGAAGTTGTCAGCTTTCTATTCTGACTCTCCTGTGGGGTTTGGTTGCATCTTTGTTCAGAGCGATCTGATCCATCATTCTTGCGGATCACATCAACCTTCGTCGTCAAAGCAAGACGTGGAGCCATGGAAGGCACCGAGCTGCCCCTGAGGCGCCACACCTGCTCCGCAGCTTCTCAACAGACGTCGCCAGAGTCGCCGCTGCCACGTCGCCGCGCCACGTTGGCAGCAGTGGCGCAGCAGCTGGGGGAGGTGGAGGACGTGGCACTTGGGGCTGAGAAGCTGGGACATGGGTGGTCCAGGGCGCAGGTGGTGCTCCTGGTGCTGCTTGAATGCCACAAGTTTCAAGATGCTTTCAAGTTCAGAAAGACTCACCGTTATGCAGAGTTGGCTGACATTGTGCTTGAGATAATGATGTTTCAGGGAATCAGCCGAGTTGCAGGGTTTCGCACGGGCTGCCAAGTGAGGTACACTCTGGCACGCATCGTGGCAAATCTGTGCGTGGTTCCTGCACCGGTAGAGCAGCTTCGAAGCCAGCAGCTTGGAAGCCCAGGCGTCGATGAGAGGATCGTTCGGACAATCGATGCGGTTGCGAGACCTGTGGTTACAGGGCTTGGCGTCTACTGCTTCCTCTGCAACAAGACCCGTTTTTCGGAGAAGTTGCGGCTGCATGTTTGGAGCAGGAGGACGATTTTCTGCCTGGCTTGCTGTGTAGCTGACCAAAGCGTGTTGCATGTCTTTCTCCAAGGACGTTCTGCTTATAAGATGACTGTGATGAGTTGTTTAATATGGGAGACCGTGTGCAATGCCTTGCAGGTTTACATGACAATCTTGAAGCTCAAAGCTTTGGGTTGGGGCTTCACGGCCCGGAGCTGCGAGGTTCTTCTCGTGATCTCTTTTGCTTGCTTGGCTCCTGGGTGCGTTACCGTCATGATCTTTGGCGGCAGTTGGTTGACTTATATACTCATGTGGAGCTCTTTCTTCACTTTCACCTTGACTTCTCTTGTGCAGAGCTTGGCGCTGTGCTCCGCAGCCACCCGTGCTTTGCTCCGTGGTGGGAGTGATGAAGCCATTCGATGCTCGGCGTACTGCTTGTGCCTGAACGGAATACTAGCAGTTGTGGGGCCTGCTCTCAGCATGTGGTCATGGATGTCCATGGTTCGCGTGGAGTTTGGCCCTCTCAATGAGGATGAAGTTTTTTTTTTTTGCTGTGTGGGTGGTGTCAATTGATGTGGGCCTCCAAGTGCTTGCCACCCTTTTGCTGAGCGGCTTGATTGGCCCGAAAGGCTGGGATCGGCCCATGGAAGCCTTCCGCAGACTGGGGCACCTCTCGGGCTTCGGCTTGGCATCGAGTCGGATCGCTTTTCCGGGCAAGATCAACGCAAGAGCCACGCAATGCATCGTATCTTTTCCGGGAAAGTATAGCGCCCAGTGGGACAATGCCGTGGCCAACGTTCAGCAGTTTGAGGACTGCTCTTTGGCCTGCGTATTCTTAACCGACAAAGCTTCAGGCTTGGGGCGCCACACTGACAACCCCGACACGCCAGGGCAATGCTGGTGCCGGATGATTTACGGAGAGTTGCCGGCAGAGACGTATCTCAGCGTGGTGGACTTGAAGGATGACTCTGATGGAGTTCTGACCAAAGAGAAGCCTTGCCGCGTTTGTTGCTTCGGTTTGGACATGTTTGAAGCTCTGTGGGGTGTAGGCAACATTCGGCGTTCACTGCAAGGCAACAAAGCAGGTTCGCAGCAGCGTGGGGTTGCTAGAAGTAAAAACCTGCACACTGATCGTTGATGAGTATTGCGTTTTACTTTTCCACACTTCGTTTTCCACAGGAAGCTGGCCTTCAAAAAGGCGGATGCCGACGCCATGGGCCAGGTCCTGGTGATCAAGGACGACCAGCCGCAGATGGAATGGGAGGCCGAGTTGTCGCTTGCACTGAACGATGCAGAGGTCCGATGCAAGGAAAACCGAGGAAGAGCCCCATGGGGATGTCAGTGGTTTGAGGGGCCACTCAGTGGCACTCAAGGCAAGCTGAGTTTTGTGTGCACGCAACAAACAACATGGGGTTACGCCAAGTTACTTGTTAAGAGGCGGTGGCCGCTATCGCCTCACACGCAGGCGCTCTTCTGGACAACTAAGGTGGAGGATCAACGTGGATGCAGCTGTCAGAGCAGGGCAGACGCTGCACGTGTTTTACTTTGAAGGTCCCCCGCAAGTTGCAGTGTATGGTCAGCTTTGCTTGGTGTTCGGGAGTTCAAACGTGAGCATCCCACCATACCCCCCCCCCCCCAATCTCCCAATATGATCGTTTCACCCTTACTCAACCCTGAAGCCCTAAACCTTAAATCGTAAACCCTGAACCCTAAGTTTGTTCGAAGGCAAAAAGGGCCATGGCAAGCTGCCGTGGGAGAAGCTGGGCAGTGCAAAGGACAGGGCTACTAGGCTGTTCGCTAGTATACGTCTTTTACTTTTTGTTTTCTGGGTTCCCTATATTCGGTAAGTAGCCAAAAAAAGTGCGTATATTTTCCTTGGGTCACTTAAAAGCTGAGGCGAACGCCCGGAAGGACACTGGACTTGGCGCCTCACAGACGGCGGAAGTGGCGTACCTGGAGAAATTGGGCTCCTTCGACTGAATCTGGGGCCCTAGACCCTAAACCCTGAACCCGAAACAAGGGATTGTTTGGGCATTTGTTAGGCGTATATGAGAATCTAGATTCAACTTGCTCTGGGGCCTGATTGGGGTTGCCAGCTCGACTGAGGAATCAAGTATGAGGAGCACGATATCAACGAGTTCGGCAACTTCCTGCTGAGCCACTTGGCGTCCACGAGCGCGGTCGAACATCGATCACCGGTCTGTCAAACATTCCTGCAGTTACCAGCACATGTTAGAGTGTTCAGAGCTATCCTTGAAAACTACAACACACTACCGGGATGAACAGCGCATGTTTCAGAAGATTAGTTGCGCTGCTCCGCATCTGTCCCCTCGTGACCCCAAGAGAATTCAGAATAGGAGAACTTGCCTCGATTCTTCTTGTGCTTCTCTTTCTGCTTACGACTGCCTTCATAGACTCAGTGCAAAATGTTTATATCCTGGAATGCACGATGAATACATCTCCAGTCCGCCGAACGTCTCAAGTCTTAAAGCCGTTGAAGAGTTGAGGGAGCGAAGAAGGGAGCCTGGGCCAAGCAGATGGCGCAGAGCCAGGGGGGCACATGTTTTTTGCGTGTGTCTTGGGATGTTCCCCCTTGTACAAACAGTCCTTCATCGGGAGTATAATCCTTGAATGTGCTCACCACCCCAGTCTAAGATCTTGGCAATTGGATGTGTTTCGACACTACGAGAGTAGCAAGAAAAAAAAGCACTCAGGGCGTTCCCAAAAGACTTCCGCGCAACCTGTGGGTGAGACCCTCAAAGCTATCACCGCTCGCTCCTAGTGCCACATGGAGCACGTGCAGAAGACGCCTGACCTCTTGCCTGCAGAAGACGCCTGACCTCGGCAAGAAGCGGCATTTCAGCTCCGGCCGCAGCTGCCTGAAGCCGATGATGCGCTTACGCAGCAGCAAAGCTTGACAGGAGCTCTTTCGTGAAGGGGGTCAGGGAGATCCTGAGCATCCAGGAATCGGAAGCTTTCGTTTGGCCATGCGCAGGGCGCACGGTGACGGTGCGGTACGAAAAAGACTGAAGTTGCTGGAGGGAGAGTGCTGCTTGATGTTCGTGCTCCACAAGTTTCAGTTTCAAGCAGCAGCCTGTGACGTGACAACGTTCCATTATCAGAACCAAAACCTGAGAATCTTCCGCCGCTCTTGTTTTTTGTCCAGACAAAAATCATCACGCAGCCCTCCAGGCAGAGCTTTGCTTGGAAGGTCATTCCTCTGGAACATGGAAGATTCATCCTACAAGGGCGAAGCTTAAAGGCGATTGAGAAGGGGTACCTGCCCTTGAGCAGTTGAAAATCTCAGCTTTCTATTCTGACTCTCTTGTGGGATTCGGTTACATCTTTGCCCAGAGCGATCTGATCCATCATTCTTGCACATCACATCAACATTCACCGTCAAAGCAGGACGTGGAGCCATGGAAGGCATCGAGCTGCCCCTGAGGCGCCACGCCTGCCCCGCAGCTTCTCAGCAGACGTCGCCAGAGTCGCCGCTGCCACGTCGCCGCGCCACGTTGGCAGCAGTGGCGCAGCAGCTGGGGGAGGTGGAGGACATGGCAGTTGGGGCTGCGAAGTTGGGACATGGGTGGTCCAGGCCGCAGGTGGTGCTCCTGCTGCTCCTTGCTTGAATGCAATAAGTTCAAGATGTGTTCAACTTCAGAAAGACTTGTTAGTAAAGAGTTGGCTGCCATTGTGTTTGAGATTTTTCATGAGAATCAACCAACCTGTGAGCCTTGAGGCAGGGTTTCGCACGGCTTGCCAAGTAAGGTATACTCTGGTGCGAGTTGCGGCAAATGTGTGCGTGGTTGGTGCGCCTGTTTCAGTCTACGCGCCCATCACGACTTCCGAGCCGCGTTTGGAGCGTCGAAGTCCACGTACCGATGAGATGATCGGTCGGATTTTCGATGCAGTCGCGAGACCTGTGGTTACGGGGCTAGGAGTCTACTGCTTCCTCTGCAATAAGAGCCGTTTTTCGGAGAAATTGCGGCTGCATGTTTGGAGCAGGAGGACGATTTTCTGCCTTGCTTGCTGCGCTACTGACCAAAGCGTGTTGCGTGACTTTCCCCAAGGACGTTACAGACTGCCAGCACGGATTGGTTGTTACATCTGGGAGACCGTGTGCAATGCCTTGCAGGTTTACATGACAATCCTCAAGCTCAAAGCTTTGGGTTGGGGCTTCACGGCCTGGAGCTGCGAGGTTCTTCTCGTCATCACTTTTAGTTGCTTGGCTCCTTCCTGTTTGTACGAGCTGATCGTTTACCCCAATTGGTTGGCCTCTATGTTCGTTAAAGTCTCTTTATTCACTTTCGTCTTGACTTTTCTTGTGCAGAGCTTGGCGCTGTGCTCCGCAGCCGCCTGTGCTTTGCTCCATGGTGGAAGTGATGAAACCATTCAGTGCTCGGCGTACTGCTTGTGCCTGAACGGAATACTAGCAGTTGTGGGGCCTGCTCTCAGCATGTGGTCATGGATGTCCATGGTTCGCGATGACTATTTTGATATTTATTTCGCTGTGTGGGTGGTGTCGATTGATGTCGGCCTCCAAGTGCTTGCCACCCTTTTGCTGAGCGGCTTGATTGGCCCGAAAGGCTGGGATAGGCCCATGGAAGCCTTCCGCAGGTTGGGGCACCTCTCGGGCTTCGGCTTGGCATCGAGTCGGATCGCTTTTCCGGGCAAGATCAACGCAAGAGCCACGCAGTGCATCGTGTCTTTTCCGGGAAAGTACAGCACCCAGTGGGACAATGCCGTGGCCAACGTTCAACAGTTTGAAGATTGCTCTTTGGCTTGCGTGTTCTTGACCAACGCCGCTTCAGGCTTGGGGTGCCATACTGACAACCCCGACACGCCAGGGCACTGCTGGTGCCGGATGATTTATGGAGAGCTGCCGGCAGAGACGTATCTCAGCGTGGTGGACTTGAAGGATGGCGCTGATGGAGTTCTGGCCAAAGAGAAGCCTTGCCGCGTTTGTTGTTTCGCTTTGGCCATGTCTGGAGATTTGCACGATATAGGCACATTGCAAGCGGGTGGGGGGTACTAGACCTATAGCAACCTCATGAACGTGACAGGGCAATCTTCTGAGGTTGCTTGGCTTGGTAGTTGGCTCACTACACATTGATCGTTGATGAGTATCGACTTCTAATTTTCTACACTTCGTTTTCCCCAGGAAGCTGGCCTTCAAAAAGGCGGACGCGGATGCCATGGGCCAGGTCCTGGTGATCAAGGATGACCAGCCACAGATGGAATGCTTTAGCATTCAGGGTTTAGGGTTAGGGGTTGAGGGTTTAGGATTTAGGATTTAGGGTTTAGGGTTTAGGGTTTAGGACCTTAAGATTAAGGTTTTAGGTTTAGGGTCTAGGGCTTATAGGGAAGGACGACCAGCCGCAGATGGAATGGGAGGCCGAGCTGTCGCTTGCACTGAACGATGCCGAGCTCCGGTGCACGGAAAACAGAGGAAGAGCCCCCTGGGGATGTCAGTGGTTCGAGGAGTCACTTAGTCTCACTTCAAGGCAAGCTGGGTTTTGTGTAAAAGCAATATGCAACATGTGCTTAAGCCAAGTTTACTTGTAAAAAGGCAGTGGACCGCTATAGCTTCATATGCAGGTGCTATTCTGGACAACTAAGGTGGAGGATCAATGTGGATGCAGCTGTCAGAGCAGGGCAGACGCTGCACGTGTTTTACTTTGAAGGCCCCTCGCAAGTAGCAGTGTATGGGCCGGCTTTGCTTGGTGTTCAAGAGTTCAAAAGTGAGCATCCTACCAGCCTCCCCCCCCCCCTTAATCTCCCAAGATCTTTTCACCTTCCTGAACCCGCAACCCTTACTCGACCCCGAAGCCTTAAACCCTAAACCCTAAACGCTACACCCTAAACCCTAAACCCTGAACCCTAAGCTTGTTCGAAGGCAAGAAGGGCCACGGCAAGCTGCCGTGGGAGAAGCTGGGCAGTGCAAAGGACAGGGCTACTACGCTGTTCAGTAGCATGCGTCTTTTACTTTGCAGGGTTTAGGGTTTTTTAGGGTTTTGGGTTTAGGGTTTAGGGTTTAGGGTTTAGATTTACAAGTTTAGGGTTTAGGGTTTAGGGTTAGGGTTCCGGGTTCCCTATTTTACGTAAGTAGCCCAAAAAAGTATGTACGTGTTTCCTTGGGTCACTGAAAAGCTGAGGCAAATGCCCGGAAGGACACCGGACTTGGTGCCTCACAGACGGCGGAAGTGGCGTACCTGGAGAAATTGGGCTCCTTCGACTGAATCTGGGGCCCTCGACCCTAAACCCTAAAACGTAAACACGGGATTGTTTGGGCAGTTTTTAGGCGCAGATGCCGCCTTGCAATTCCGTCCTAGCTTTGCATTTTTAAGATTTTGCTCCGCGAGGGAATCTAGATTCAACTAGCTCCGGGGCTTCACTGGAGTTGCCAACTCGGCTGAGGAATCAAGTATGAGGAGCACGACATCAATGAGTTCGACGGCTTCCTGCTGAGCCGCTTGGCGTCCACGAGCGCGTTCCAGTATCAATCGCCGGTCTGTCAAACTCTCGAGCAGTTACTAGCACACTTTATATATATATATATTATGATATAAAAAATAATATATATATATATGTCTTTTTTTTAGAGTGTTCAGAGCTATGCTTGGAACTACAACGCGCTACCGGGATGAACAGCGCGTGTTTCAGAAGCATCTTTCCATTCGTGACCCCAAGAGAATTCAGAACCGTTTAGGCTAGGAAAACTTTTCTCGATTATTCTTTTGTTTCTCTTTCTGTTTACCAATACCTTCATAGACTCAGTGAAGTTCTTATATCCTGGAATGCACGATGAATACATCTCCAGTCTGTCGAACGTCTCAAGTCTTAAAGTCGTTGAACGAACAAGGAAGTCTGGGCCCAGCGGGTGGCGCAGAGCCAGGGACATTTTTTTGCAAATGTCTTTACATGTGTTCACCACCCCAGTCTAAGATCTTGCCATTTGAATGTGTTTCGACCCTACGAGGGTAACAAGAAAAAACTCAGGGCCTTCCCAAAAGACTTACCCGGGACATGTGGGTGAGGCCCTCAAAGCGTTCCCTATCACTGCGTGATCCTAGGGCCACATGGAGCGCATGGAGAAGACGCCTGACCTTGGCGGAACAACATCATCCAGCATTCAGCTCCGGCCGGCGACGGTTGCCGGTGATGCACTTCTGCAGCATCGGCTGACCGCGACCTCCACACCCTCCACAAGATACTTGTGCGGATGAACTTCTCCAACTTGATCTGACGACGAACCAGTCCGGCAACAAAGTATTGAACTGCCCACGAGGGTCTCTGCCTGCACTTCCTGCACATTTGCTGCGCCTGCCCTATAGTCTGCCTATGGCTGCGGGGCGCGAGCTTGAGTTGGCGCATGAGGTGGCCGACTCTAAACCCAAAACCCTAAACCCTGAACCCTGAACTCTGAACCCTAAACCCTAAACCCTAAACCCTAAACCCTAAACCCTAAACCCTAAACCCTAAACCCTAAACCCTAAACCCTAAACCCTAAACCCTAAACCCTAGACCCTAGACCCTAGACCCTAGACCCTAGACCCTAAACCCTAAACCCTAAACCCTAAACTAAACCCTAAACCCTAAACCCTAAACCCTAAACCCTAAACCCTAAACCTATAGGAATCGGAAGCTTTCGTTCGGCCACGGGGCGCACGGTGTGACGGCACGGCTACGAAAAAAACTGGGGCACGCTTTTGGTAGCTGCTGTGGCCTGCCCTTACAGCTAAGCCGTGAAACTTGGGATGTTCCCCCTTACAATTATTGTAGCTCTCCTTACTAGGGATTATAGTAGGGGGTACAAAATTCTCATTAAGGACTGCTAGTATACGGGGGAACATCCCAAGCTGAAACCAAACCCCCGAAGTTTGGCTGAAAGGCTTCTGCGTCGGACATCCGAGAAGAGCGGATGCAGAGGACGGACCGCCGCTGATGGGTGTCGGAGGTTCTCCCCAGGGGTCCCTTTGAAGACGGAGGCTCCTCCAGTTGCTATTTGCCTTTCTTGTGTTTGTGCAGGTACCCTGTTTATTCCTAGGTTAATCCTGGGACTAGGATAGCCTTTCAAGGGATGTTTGTTTGCTAGCTGCTGCACCTTCTTGACAAGACTCTGCACCTGCAGGAAGTCCAGAGACCTAAATCCTACAGTCCCTCAGATTTAGGGCTTAGGGTTTAGGGTTTAGGGTTTAGGGTTTAGGGTTTAGGGTTTAGGGTTTAGGGTTGGTTTAGGGTTTAGGGTTTAGGTTCGAGCATTTGGGGCTTCATAGTGTGCCCCAAGCACACACCAGGTACCCACAGCTTTTGTGGATTTGCTTTTTTTGGCGGATTTAGGATGAACGTAGAACCCTGAGAACCCTAGCCCTAGCAAGCATACCTGATGCCCAAGAGTAGCTTGTGAGCAACCTTAAACCGCTTAGCCCCCCAAGTCCCCTTTTCCCCTGCATTCCCTGAACCCCAGAAACTGGGTCCTAAACACCATAACCCCTACACACCCTTAAAACCCCGAACCTTGGGATGTTCCCCCTTTATACTAACAGTCCTTAATCGGGATTATCGCACCTTCTGTTAGAATCCCTATTGTAGGACTGTTTATATACGGGGGAACATCCCACTAAACCCTAAACCCTAAACCTTAAACCCTAAACCCTAAACCCTAAACCCAAAACCCTAAGCTCCAACCCCAACTCCCTAACCTCAAGGAGCTTGCACTCAGAGTTCCAACTCCACGGCTTCGCGAAGCTGCAGCGGGACCACGTTCCCTTGAGCGACGAAGCCATCGCCGGCATCCCAGCCAAGTAGGGTTCGGATTTGGAGTTTCGGATGCAGAGGTCAGAGACCTAGGTTCTAGGTAGGCCCTTAGGAACATTTCATATTTTCCCTTATCGGGTTTAAGAGGATCATATTCAGGAATCTTTTTTCAGAACGTTGTACGGGCCATCCTGGGATTCTGCCGGGTATTTCGCGGCTTTTTGTAAGGGTTTAGGGTTTAGGGTTTAGGGTTCAGGGCTTAGGGTTTAGGGTTTAGGGTTCAGGGTTTAGGGTCTAGGGCTTCGGGAAATTGGCGCGCAGTGAGCCGCAGTACTCAGAAGCTGAAGCCCAGTGCAGTGCAGCACTCCGTGCATGCGGCATTCTGCGGTAGTTCGCAACTGGTGGCCCAAGCATCTGTGGGATGTTCTGAGCGCCACGAACTCCTCTTTCGGGTTTAGGGTTTAGGGTTTAGGGTTTAGGGTTTATTGGGGAATAGGGTTTCTGGGTCATGGGCTGTTGGGTTGATGGGGTTGTCTTGCCCTAGGCTTTTGTGGCTACGTACTTCAACGCCGTGCACAAGGCGCGAGTCTGGAGTTGCTGGTTTAGGGTTTAGGGTTTAGGGTTTAGGGTTTAGGGTTTAGGGTTTAGGGTTTAGGGTTTAGGGCTGAAAGCTTTCCTGGACCCTTGGCGGTCCCTTGGTTGGAATATCTGTTTGTTCTGTTTGGTGCAATATGCACTCTTCAATATGAAAACGATCAGCCAAAGACAAGTACCAATTGAGGGTCAAGGTAGGGCCTAGTCCTACATTATGAAAGGTTAGCTCAGAGGGAGACCCCCACCTTCTCCAAACAGTATCGCAAGCAGGTCTCATATTCTCGGGTGGTACCACTGTGGGGGGAGGTTTGAGCGACCGTATACTTGCATTGCGCACGAGAAAGAGCTTTGGTTGTGTTTTTGGTTTATGGCTTCTAGGCGTGGTAGGAGGGTGTAGGGTTTACTTGGACCCCCCAAAGTAGTTACAACAGATTACCCAAACACACATAAACAGTACCATTCTTCTTTACTTTTGGGTGGGTAGGTATGTTTTTAGGGAAACCCTAAACCCTAAACCCTGCACCCTAAACCCGAAACCCCAAACCCTTAACTATAGTTAGGGGGTATGGAAGGAGCATTGGGCCTTTGCGGGAGAGTCGGTTGCTCCAGTGGCAGGCCAACGGCTTCTATCGAGACTCCAAGAAGGAGTTGGGCCAAAAAGGTTTAGGGGGTTCTGGGTTTAGG